AAAAAAAAAAAAAAAAAAAAAAAAAAAAAAAAAAAAAAAAAAAAAAAGGAAGAAAGAAACGGGGGAGTGAGAGTGAAAAAAAAAAAGCATCAGAGCTTCTCTTGGTCCTTTACCCTCTTGTTTGATTATATTTTATTGGGTTGTTAACACTCTGTAGATATATGAACTTTTGTATCTTGAGTCTGTAGCCAGAAATCTGGTTAAGCTCTTTCATGATGTCTAATAGTCTGTTCCTGGCTGGTCCGAGTGCAGTGATGTTTACAACTAATTGGTCACAGTTACCTACAGATGAATTTGTTCCTTCTCCATTCCCACTGCTTCATTTGACTAGCCTTCAAAAAAACTGACTGTGATTCTCTTTGATTCTTCTCTGTAGACAGTAACTATTCATGCATCAGGACTTTTTGTTCTCTTCTTTTATAGTTTTTGTACCCTTTCTTTGCTTTTCTTGCTCTATTACCTTGGGTAAGATATCCAGTATATTGTCAAATGGAAACAGTGATAGTCTATTTATCTAGTTGCTAACTTAAACGCAGCTGCTTTTAAAGTTTTACCATTGAGTATAATGTTCAGGTAGGATTTTTGTGGATATCTTTTTATTAGTTAAGGAAGTTAGCTTACAGTCTTAGTTTATTAAAGTTTTTAATCATGAATGAATGTTGAAATCCAAAAATTTTTTCTCCTTTTTATGAAGGTGGTACATTGCATTAATAGATTTTTCTAATGCTAAACTATCCTTCCATTTCTGGGTTAAACCCTTCATGGTTATAATGAATTACTTGTAATATAGCACCACTGAATTAGAGTTGTGGAATTTTCTATAGGATTTTTGCACCTATATATTCATCAGTTATATTGGTTATTTTAATTTGCTACTGCTGCATAACAAATTAGCCCCCAATTTTGCTGATTTAAAATACATACATTTTGTATTTCACTTTCTGTGGGTCGGGAATTCAGGCGCCGCTCATCTGGGTGGTTCTGGCTTAGTGTCTCTCAAGAAGTTGCTGCCAAGATGTCACCTGGGGATACAGTCATCTGAAGGCCCAACTGGGGCTGGCGATTCATTTCCAAGATCCTCAGATGGCTGTTGGCAGAAGCTCTCAGCTCCTCACCACATGGACCTCCCATAGGGCTGCCAAGCATCCTCTTATACTGCAGCTGGCTTCTCCCAGAGTGACCCAGGAGAGAAGGCAGAAGCCATGAGGCTTTCATGTCCTAGTCTAGACATCACATATCATCACTCCTGCCACATTCTATTTGCTAGAAGCAAATCACTAAACCAGCCCACCCTCAATGGCAGGGGAATTGTCGAAGGGAAGTATATCAAAGAATGTGAACATATTTAAAACCCCCCACATTGCCCTGTCATTTTCTTTTCCTATATTGTCTTCAGTCTCAGTGTTATGCCATACTAAACTCAGAAAGTAAGTTGGCTGGTTTTTCTCCTTGTCTGTGAGAGAGACTAATGAATTGCCTGCAAAATAATCTGGTCTTTTCCAATGAGAGGATAACTATGGGAGGGAGATTACTGATTTACTTTACTTCATGTTAAATGTTTGCTCAGGCTACGAGTTTAAGAGATCAATATTTTTAGAACATATTCCAGACTCTGAAAACTTGACTGTCATTCACTTAAACCTTACACATCTCCATCTGCTCAGCACCGGCTTAGAGTGCTGTGAAATTCCTACATTCAAACAAAACACGATGCAAACAGAAAAATGACCTCACTCATTTTAAAAAGTCAGTATGAAGAGTAGGGGAACTAAAAAGTTAAGGAGGTTACACAACAGATGCTTAGTTCGTTAAAAAAAAAAATTCAAGACCAAACTCCCAGTCATTCCGGTAAACTTAGAATAGTGTCGAATGGAACTCGACCTTTTTGATCTCAGGGCTGCTTTACAGTAAACAAATTAAGGACCCCATAGAGCTGTGTGTGTGTGTGTGTGTGTGTGTGTGTGTGTGTGTGTGTGTGATAGAGCTCTTTCTCTCTCTCCTCTCTCTCTCTCTCTCTTCGTTCTTTTTCTCTCTCTCACTCTCAGATTCTTGCTCTGTCACCCAGGTAGGAGGCGCATTGTCACAATCTCAGCTCGCTACGGTCTTGAACTCCTGAGCTCAAGTAATCCTCTTATCTCAGCCTCCCAAGTAGCTGGGACTACAGGCTTGTGCCACTGTGCCCGGCTAATTTTTTAAATTTATTTTTTGTAGAAACAGAAGCTCACAATGTTGCCCAGACTAGTCTTGAACTCCGGGGCTCAAGCAGTCCTCCTGATTCAGCCTGCCCAAGTGCTGAGATTACAAGCATGAGCCACTGCACCCAGCCCCATAGAGTTGTATCTAGCAATATTTACTATATCAGAAGTTAAAACTGAGAGTTTCTAAAACTATGTATATATTAATTCATTTGAACATAGCATAATGAACCAATTTCACATTAACACAGGCAACATATTTTTCTGAAAAATAACTATATTTTCCAAAACAAAACAAAACAAAATCAGTGCAAAGAGGGTCACTGCTTTCCATTTTTGCAAATCTGTTTAATGTCTGGCTGAAGAAAAAACAGATACGTCCCTATATTGCCATCTACATCACCGTGGTGGAGTATGTTGTGCCGGGTGAAGTTTACGAAGATCTGGCTTCACCTGCATATGTTGTTGCGAGAAGGAGGAGTATTTTAATAGCCTTTTCAGTTAATTGTGAAATCCTTGTACACTACATAACAACTCAACAAGTGGCAATTTCTTAAAGGTTGGTTACAGTGTGGAATCACAAAGAACACTAATGAGCTTTTCATGTCCTTTACACTTACAAGAGAGGGAGAGTGAAAGTTGCCATATTATGAAGAATTTTGACCCTAGAACCCCTTGAAATGGTCTTTGGGGAGCTCCCTGGGTCCCCAGACTACACTTTGAAACTGCAAGCTCAGGCACGCAAATATACCTCCTTGACGTTAAGCTATTTTTTAAAATCACA